TAACTCCTAACCCCAATGCCTGACTCCAACCCCGACCTCAACCCCAACCCCTGGCCGTGGACCTGGCCCTACCCCTACACACTAGCCCTACCCAGGACCCAGACCCAGACCCAAGCTCTAGTCCTAGCCCTAACCCTCCAACCCTAACCCTAACCCTAATCCTCTAACCCTGACCCTCACCCTAACCCTAACCGAGCCCCAAGCCTCGAGTCCCAAGCCTCACCCTGACTCTGACCCTCTAATAATGACCCTCTAATTCTAAACTCTGCACCCTAAAACTGAAACCCCTAACCCCAAACCCCTAAACCCTAACACCCTCACCTTCTCACCCTCACTGTAACCCTCATGCTGACCTTTAGCCTAGTCACTGACCCTGACCCTAATTCCCAAAACTTAAGCCTTAACCCCCAACCCAAAGCAAAGGAATACTATTCCGCAATAGAAAGGAACGAACCATCAACCCATATAAAGACATCAGTGAATCTTAAACATATGTCGCTAAATGAAAGAATCCAGTGTGAAGAGGCCACACACTGTGTGATCCCATTTGTATGACATTCTGATGATAAGAAATTTTCACATATTGAGGTATGTGGGGTAGCTATTTTGGGTTAAACCTCATTTATCCTGAACTAAAAGAAAACTGACTTATGGGTTGGCAAAAAATACATTGTACATCTGCTTTAACCATTAAAGGAAAAATGCAGTAGACATTATCTCTGAGTAAAAGAAGCACCCTTTGAAGATAAGAACACACACTTCCTCTCCTAAGACTCCAGTCTCAGCACCACTGAAGCTAAGTTCCCTTTCCAAGACATCCGGGTCACGTTGACCTGATAATTTGCAACTGAATACCTCTCTGAAACTTTGATGAGTCTGTATCCTGGGCATGTTTGATGTCTCCTGAGCGCTTTCTACCTTTGTGGAGACTGCCTCCCAGGTTATAATTCTCAGCTCGGCTCAAGTACAACTAGCTTATCTCTCCTATATCTATAGAATAGCTGGTTATTTGCATCCACACCGGAAAAGGCAAAAACTACAGAGATGGTAAACAGATCATGGCGTGGGGGGTTGAAGAATCCCATATGATATGTTAGTGATGGATAACTGCCACTATGCATTTGTCAAAACCCGTATATTTTTACAGTCCAACGAGTAAATCATGATCTGCTCAAATTAAGTTATTTAGGATGTGCGACTGGCACAGGATGAAATACAGAATGTGACAAAAAATCTAATTATAGGTAATGGGGCAAAAGGTGCTTACCTAGGTAACTTTGGAAATGAATGGAATCTGTAGACTAAAGGCAAAGTGGACTTTGGTTTATAAAGTTCTTTCCCATGGGGGGGTAGTAGCTAGCAATTCTGAAACCAGTGTATCTGTAATTTGGAATGGAGCAATGAATTAGACAAATGATAGACGGTGGGAGCCAGGTTCCTCACTGTTGGAGTGGGAGGTTACAGATAAGCCAGGGGAGAAGGTTGCAATATGCTAAGATGGAGCAGGCTGAAGACATCAGTATAAGCTCGTCCTTAGCCAAGTATGGATGCAGAGAGTTCCAGGTAGAAATCTTTATAATTAGGTGTGTATACATAGGTTGGAATACATGCATCTATTTCCTTGCATTGTCAGTTGAGCACATTTAGTTCCCACGTGTAATTTTTAATACCGCTCTCTAATAAAGGGAACCAGGGCTCTTTGAAGAAACAGCTGATACTAGGACTGAGATATTATGTTATATACAGTTACAAATATGCTGCCAATTAAACTGCGACTTTCTCAACAAAAGGAAAAAAATCGTTGATGAATTTACTTCCATCGAAGCCAGACAAAGCATTTAATAAATTCTAGGTTTGGTATAAATAACATATTTAAACTTAATGTTGCGATTTCTAATACACCTACTTTTCAATGTGTCAGTAGGTTTTCAACTGCGTTACCACCGTAACACAAAAAGACCATCACAACCCTCACGAGAGCAAGAGCGCAGGGGCGGCTGGCCCTGATGGCCGGTGGGACCGACCCGTCCAGGAGCACCTGTAGCCCGAAACGGTCTCAGGGTCTCTCTTGACTCTCTGCGGGGACTTCTCCCCGGACAAACCCGCATCTGGAAGAAGTCCCACAGCGTGCAAAGCCTTATATAGGGATGCTTTTGTAAAACGCATCCTGCGGAAGTACCGCATGAGAAAGCAAAGATAAAAAGCCTGAGAAAGTCCAGACACCAGGGTTCTGTGCTCGCCACCGGACACCAGTGTCTGCGAGGAGCCGCAGCAGATCCGCCCGCGCCCGCAGGGCCGCCGCGACAGCCGCGTCGTCGCCCCGCCCTCGCCGCACCCCCATCCCCAAGCGGCGGGGCGCATCCCTGGACCCAGCGCATCCTCCCCAGGACGGGACGCGCATGCGCTCCCGCGGGTCCGGCGGGCGGGGCGGGCGCCCTCTGCTGTCGTTTTGTATAGAACAAATTGGTATCTGAAATGAAAAAAGAATTTCACAATGGCACCACAAAAATTAAAGTCCTTAAGTGTGAGTCTAATAAAATATATACAAATATGCATTCAGAAAACACTGAAACACAGTTGAGAGAAATCAAACAAAATACAAAGAAATGCAGAGATGCTCCTTGTTCAGGAGCAGCAGTCAGTATTGTTAAGATGACAACTCTTTCTAACTTGATCTGTAAATTCAATGGAATTCCAATTGAATTCCCATGAAATATATTGAGAAAGTGCCTCTAAACCTAGACGAGACGACATAAGACTGAAGAACAAGTGAAAGAACTCACACATCCAGACCCAAGACTTATCTTAAAGCTATAACACTGAAGAGAGTGTGATATGGGTGAAAGAATAAATAAATGGAACAGAACAGAGAGCACAAAAGTAGACCCATGTAAATGTAGTCAGTTGACTTGTCAAAGGGACAAAGGCAATTCAACAGAGAAAGGAAAGTCTGTTCCACAAATGGCAATGGAACAATTAGAAACCATATGGAAAAAAATGACCATAGAAACTAACTTTACAACTTGGACAAAAACTCAGCCAAAATATTGTATAGGCATAAGTTTTCAAATGCAAAAATGTAGAAATTATAGAAGAAAATCAACATGACCTTGGGTCTGGCGATGAGTTTTTAAATAAAACACCAAAAGCCAGTTCGTGAATGAAAAAAAAATGCTGTTTACTTTATTAAAAATTTAAAGTGTCTACTCTGTGAAATATCCTGTTAAGAGAACAAAATACAAGCCACAGACTGGCAGAAAATATTTGGAAAACACATCTGAAAAAGGACTTCTATGCAAAATATAAAAAGAAACTCCAAAACTCAACAAGAAGACAAACAACCCAATTAAAAATGGGTAAAGATCTGAACAGACATCTCACCAAAGAAGACATATAGATGACAAATAAGCATGCAGAGTAATGCTCAACATCACTTGTCATGAGGGAAAAGCAAATTAAAACCACAATGAGATTACGCTGCACGTCTATTAAAATGGCTAAAATCTGAAGGAAAAAAATAGCAATAGCAACAGGAACTTTCGTTCATTGCTGGTGGAATGCATAATTCTAAAGGAAGACAGTTTGGCAGTTTTTTGCAAAGCTAAACAGGATCCCATCACATAAGCCAACAATCGCATTCCTAGGTATTTAGACAAGTGCTCTGAAAACGTATGTCCAAGTAGAATCCAGCATGCAGTTATGTGCAGAATCTCTCTTCATAATGGCCAAATATTTTAAACAATCAGGACATCCTTCAGTGGGTGAATGAACGACCAAGTGAGGTACATTCGTGCAATGGAATGCTGTTCAGCAACAGAGAGGAATGCCCCACCAAGGCGTGCAAAGACCCAGATGAATCTACATGCACCTAACTGAGGGAAAGAAGTCAATGTGAACAGACCGCACACCGAGCAGATCCCATTTATGACATTCTGGGGAGAAAAACTTACAGAGATGGTAAAAGAGCCATGATGGAGAGGGATTGGGGGACGAGGGTGATGGAAGGCGGTGCAAATGGGCCTGGCGGCAGTGGACTCCCTCTGGTTGCTGAGATCACGCTGGGTGTGTCTGACAAAGTCTGGGGTCCGGAGCCCCAGGGTGAACAAGAAGGCTATTTCTCACGCTAGGAGAAAAGGGCCATCTTCCATTCCATGTGTAACTATTTCATGACCAGTTCTGAGGAAGGTTGCGTGTGTGTGTGGTAAAATATACATAACATGAAATTTAGCATTTTAACCATTTTTTACGTTACAGTTCAGTGTCATTAAATGCATTCACATCGTTGTGCGACTGTCACCACTATCGTTTTTCATTCCCCATCAGCAATGATGAGAATTCACATTTCTCCACATCCTTGCCACCACTAGTTTCCACTTTTTTTATTGAATCCATTCTAATGGGTGTTAAGTGATATCTCATCGTGGTTTTGATTTTTATTTCCCTAATGGCTAGTGATATTGAGTATCTTTTCATGTGTTTACTGCCATCGGATTTGGCGATGAGTTCTCAGGTATGACACCAAAAGCACAGGCAATAAAAGAAAAAATCAGTGATTTGACTTCATCAAAATTTAAAACCTTCGTGCATCAAAGGACACTATCAAGAAGGTAAAAAGATAACATACAGAATGGGAGAAAATATTTGGAAATCATATATCTGATAAGGGTTTAGTGTCCAGAATATATAAAAAACTCTTACAACTCAACAACAGAAGAACAAACAATCCAGGAGAAAAATAGTCAAAGGACTTGAATAGGCTTTTTTCCAAAGAATATACAAAACTAGCACGTGAAAAGATGTTCAGCATCACCAGAACACGTAAATCCACAGAGAGAGAAAGTAGATGCACGGTTGCCAGGGGTGGGAGGGAGGTTGGCAGGGGGAGTAAGTGCTTACTGGGCAGGGATTTCCTGGTGGATGAAAGCATTTTGGAACAAGATAGAGGTGATGGTTGCACAATACTATACATGTAGTAAATGTCACTGCACACTTTAAAATGGTTAATTTTATGTTATATGAATTTTTTATCTCATTGAAAAACAAAGAAAAAGAAACTATTCCGCGGCATCCCCTTGCTTAGACGTGTCCTCTTCCCTCACTGCTCCCTTGGCCTGGCCTTCAAGGCCCTCCCCAGTCCAGCGCTGCCTGGGGCCTGGCCAGCCTCATGTCAGACATTTGTGCTCCAGCCATGCTGTCCATGCAACTCCTCCAGCCACCAGCATTTCGTAATTCCAGTCCCGGGCCAGCTTCTTTCCAGCTGCTTACAGATGCCCGGCGACGAGCACCTCCCTCCTCGGGGATCCAGATCTTTCAGACCTTGCTCCACTGTAAACCGGACCTCAGCACACGGCTTCCAAGGCGTGTCTCATCTCAACAGCGAAATTAGTGTTTTCTGAGCCCCTTGATGTGCAGGCACCTTGCCAGGTGAACTCACAGCCACTCCAGGAGGTGTCAGCGTGACTCACCGACACTCACACACCTCTGAGCCGCTTCACACTCAGCGTCAGGTCTCCTGGCGCCTTGCAGAGAAAGTGTGCGAACGCTGTGCCTGGCCGCACGGCAGAGGCGTCCCCACGGTAGGGTTACATGCAGGTGGCCCAGGTCCCACGTGAAGCCACACGAGCCACACAGATGCTGTTATAAATACACCAGCTGGGGCTGCCCGGGGCTTGGCTCCAGGAAGTGGATTCAAGCCAGTATTTTTATACTTGGTTAGAGCAGAGGATGCGTGCATCTGACTTCCATCCACTCCCCTCTCGCTCTCTGTATACTAAAGATACATTCTGGGTCCCGCCTACCCCTCTGACCAGAATCCGGCCCCGCTGAGGCTCCCCACAAACCCTCAGAGGCTCCACAGGCACACAGAAGGAGGGGTGCCTGTCTGAGCCAAGAGGGACCTTTGCCTTTGGGACCCTGGGGCAGCAAGTGCTTTTTTCTGCCCAGGCCACAGGGGACACTGGAGACCCACAGAGAGGTTAGCACCCAGAGAGAGATAGGCCCCCATTTTATCCGCCCCTCTGAACCTCAGCACCTCCAACCCCGGAACAGTCTCGTCCCAGCCCTCCCCAGGCAGAGGATGTCAGCACCAGCCCAGGTCCAGCAGCCGGGAGGAACAGGGTCTGCTGCCGGAGGCGCCCAGTCAGAGTGACGGGCGTGCACTGGGAGGGCCCCTGGCGCCCTGGGCAGAGTCAGGGACACTGTTATGGGCTGAACTGTGTTCCCCCAAAATTCATAAGTTCAAGTCCTAACCCTCAAGCACCTGTGAAAGCAACCTTATATGGAAATAGGGTCTTTGCAGGCCGTCAAGCCAAGATGAAGTCACTCGGGTCAGCCCCAATCCACTACAATTGTGTTGGGATAACAAGGGGGACTTTCGACAGAGACAACAGGGAAAATGCCCGGTGAAGACTGAAGCTGTGCTGTCCAGGCCTGGTGGAAGCCCTGAACCACGGCCCTGAGACCCAGACTTCAGTCTCTCAGCCTCCAGGTCTATGAGGGAATGTATCTGTGTAGTTCTAAGCCGCCCGGTTTGTGGGGCTTTGTCACAGCAGCCCTGGGAGACGGCACAGGCACCCCCTACACTGTCCTCACTGCCTGCAGACTGCAGGGCCGAGCAGAGGCAGGGCCCTTCACAGACCGGTGCTGGCGGTCACTTCTGGCCCTGACTGTCCAGGAGCTCTGGCCACAGCTCTCCGCCTCCTGGGGCCCATAGAGGAGAGGATAAGAGGGTCGGGGGCATGGCCTCCATAGAGTGGCCACTGGCCCTCCACCCTGCTATTCCTGGAGCCCAGAAAGCCCAGGAAGAGCAGACCAGCCCCCCACACCTCCTCTGGGCCCGTCTCCCCGCCACTGGCAGTTTGGAACAGCCTCCCGCTGCCCTGTGATCTCAGGAGCAGAAGAGCCTCAGGAAGGAGCAGAGAGGACAGTCGGCCTGTCACAGACTCTAACCCATGTCCCCTAGGCCCGGGCTGGCCCTTTAAGGGGGTGAGGGCAGAACAGGCTGTGGGGTCAACACCCCTCTTCTCAGAGGGGCCTGGGGTCAAACCAGAAAGCAGGGTGGGAAGTCGGGCAGGGGCCTGGATGGCAGGACGCAGAAGGCAGAGGCCCCTCCCCCCAGTGCTGGATGGGGTGGGGCTGGCAGAGCCTCTGCCTTCATCTACACTGGACGTCTGACCACTGCACAGGTGGCCCTCTGCAGAAGGTCCAGTCCAGTAAAGGGTCATGTCCAGAGACTTTAGTCTGTTTTCCCCAAAATGGACATGATTCAGCTGGCCAAGTCAGGGCTCTAGAACCTCCCAAACTGAGCCTGCTGTCTGCCAGGGGTAGGAGGGAACAAATGCCCTGGAGATCCTCATGCAGCCTGTTCACCAGGGTCTTGCGTCTGACCATGACCAGCTCCCACATGGGCACCTCCATGCTGGGCATCCAGGCTCTGCTGGTCACAGGAATGGCCACAGGCCAAGGCCAGGGTGGGCCCGGAGCTCTGCATGCTTCCTGGGAATGTCGAGGGGTGGCACCCCCCATAGCAGCCCAGGGCGCAGTAGTCGCTGCTGCTGCCCTCTGGCTGTGGGGGTGCTGGCCTGGCGGGGCCCACAGGGACCCAGTCCTCCTGCGGCAGGTAGGCAGGCAGCTGCCCTCCCCACTCCACAGGGAGGCCGGTGCCAATGCCCGCCTCCTCCAGGCCCACTGACTGCCAGGGATGTGCCGGGTCGTAGGTGAGCAGTGCAATGTCCTCCTGAACGCCGGGCTCCAAGGCTCCCCGCTGGGCACCGACGTAGTCCTGGCTCAGCTGCAGACCAGCCCTGTGGGCCCCTGTCCAGCTCTGGAATGGAGCATAGGGAGGAGGCAGGGCTCAGCAGCACGTTCAAGACTCACCCTGGGAGCAGCCTCCCCTCCTCCTCCAGGAAGCCCTCCTGACAACCACATCCAGAAGCCAAGCAGCGCCCGTGCCCAGAACACTCTGTCTTTCCTCCAAGTGCCAGTCAAGCCTCAATATGGGACTGAGTCCCTTCAGGCCCCTCACCACTCCCCCAGCACAGGGCCTAATGCTCAGAGCAGCCTGAACCAGAGCACAGATGGCAACAGGTGCCAAGGACAAAGAAAACCGCTGGAGCAGCTCCGGCCACTTTCAGCAGGCACGGAGATGGGGCAGCCAACCTCGACCCCCACTAACACACACACACACACACACACACACATGACAGGAGACACCACTGAGACTGGGGCCTTGGGGCTGAGGCAGGCAGACCTGGACCCCTCCACAGGAGGCCCCACCTCCAACAGGGAAGTGGTCCCCTGAGTGGGACCTGGAGTCTACACAGAAGGCATCGCACACACCACGTCCTCCATTACTGCCCTGCTCCCTGGAGAGCTGACCCCTGGCTCCAGACCACCACCCAGGGGCTCTAAGTAAGCCCTGACAGGTGCCCAGGGTCTACAGAGAAGGGCTGGGTGCCTGAAACCCAGGTGACAGTCCAGGGGCCATCGAAATCTGTGCCCCACTCAGCCTCCGTCCTCAGCTGCCTCGAGGATCTCGGCAGGTCCCATCCACTGCTTTGGGGAAAGAGGGGACTCCGCCAAGGACGAAAGGCTCAGTTCTAAGCTTCAGATTATATTTTTGCACAAGAATCTTGAAAACTAGGCTCCCTGTTGAGAGAGAAAAGGGCCAGGCGGACACTGTGCGACACGAGGAGGGGAGAACCTAGGAGAGCGGGTCAGCGGACCCAGGAAGTCATGCCCCGCCGTCCTTGGCCCAAGGGAGGGGCTGAGAGAGTGGAGACCAGAGACTGTCCACAAGAGCTTCTCCTCCCCCCACCCCAGCCTCCTGCCACGGGGGCATCAACCACCAGGCCAGCAGGCAAGGGAGGGGTCTGCACAGAGGGGCTGGTGCGACCCCCCAGGTTGTCCTCAGCTTGCCCGTAGCCTGTGGGAGCCCACCAGGGTACCACAAAGGGGGCAATGCAGAGTCTCCTCATCAGCCAGTGTGCTGCCAGGGGGACCAGGAGGCCAGACACTGCACGATGGCCACCAGAGCTGTAGCCCAGGGACCAGGGACAGCACAAGCACCAGAGACCATCCCCACAGCCAGCAGAAAGACACCTTGGGAGAGAAAGAAGGGACGAGATGGCGGCAGGAACAGGCAGCCCCATTGTTTGACCTTAAACTGACTATTTACCTCAAAGGCGCTGCCATGAACCAGAAAAGACAGAGATGATGTCAGAGAAAGTCGACATCAACAATGGAATTAGAAACACCAGAGCAAAAGAAATCAGCCGTAGAGAAGAAAGATCTTTTTTTTTCCCCATTTGAGACACAGTGTGTAAATTTAAGCCCACTATGTGTACCAAAAATCTCGAAGCACTGACCAAGGCCCTCAGGCCCTCCCCCATCCCTTGCCTGAAGCCCACATCCTGAGCAGAGTCAGGCAGCCCCTTCAGGGTTGCGTCACAAACCTGGAAGTTCCCGTTGTGCACACTGTAGAGAGGCTGGAAGAACATCACTGGAGAGGGCACGTTCTGATAGAAGGTTCTCTTCACCCTGAGGCCAGGAGAGGACAGTCAGGGGCCTGTGGAGACCTGGGTGGGGGCTCCTCCAGAGGGCGAGGTCACTGTGGAGAACTTAGCCCTCTTCCAGCCAGCAGGTGACCAGCCCCGCCTCGTCCATGCTGCTGCCACACACCCACCTCTCACCAGGTCCACACCTGCTGCCAGGGCAGGCCCTGACCCTCGGCACCCTGTGGCCTCCCTGGATAATGACCCCATAGAACTGATTTATACCAAGACATGTGTCCTTTACAGGGTGACCTGTGATGGAAGGGGCAGGGGCATGGGTGACCAGCGTGTCCGTGGCCTGCAGAGAAAGCCAGCACCTCCAGGGCGCCAACTGGTGCCATGAGCAGACAGATGGCAACTCCCGCCCCATGTGACTTCCCTCTGAGCACCAAATCTATCTGCTCAGGACCCACTGGTCCACCCCTAAGGATGCCACACAGGGCTCCAACCCAATAGGTCCAAGTCAACCTCCGCTGGGGCCTGGCCCCCCCAAGTTCCCCACCTCGGGGGTGACATCAGGGGCCACAGATCATCTCTCATCCTCCCACGCGTCCCCTGGGTTTCTCCCCCTAAGACCCTAGCAATTCCCTCCACTTCGCTCCATCTCTGCTTCTGTCACCAGCTCAAGCCCGGCTGTCTCTCTCTGGACACCACCATGGGCCCCCCAGCTGGTCCTCCCATCCCCCTGTCCCCAAGAATCCATTCTCAAAATACACACCGGATCACATCACACACTCTTGAACAGGCTTCAAGCGCTTTCCTTTGCTCCAAGGACAAGCCGGGAGCCCTCCTCGGCCTTCCCCACCCCCACCCAGCACCCTCTTCCTCTCTCCCCACCCCCGTGTGCTCTTCGTTCCCTCTGCTCTCATCCTCTCTGCTACCTGTCTGCACCTGGCCAGTCTCATCTGGGATCCCCTCTTTGACGAGGCCCCTGTGCCCCGTCCTGTAACACGATGTGTGTGACAGCTTATGTCAGGAGGGCCCTTGTGTCTGTCTTGTTCTCCGTGGCATTCACCAGGGTGGAGAACAAGGGCCTGGGCACACCAGGCCCAGAACTGTATTTTCACAGAATGTGTTAACACATGAGCGAACCTCCGAGCACCTCCAGAGGCAGGAGACGGAGGACCTCAGGTGACTTAGTTTCGGTGACTTTGGATTCCCTCACGGCTCTTTGGGGCCACACTGCCTCCCCGTAAACCTGGCAACTTGGGAACTCCCCACTAGTCCAGAGCAGAGGCTTGAAAACCTCACTGCATCCAGGACCTGATGGCGGGGAGGGGAGGAAGAGGGGGAGGCTGGCTTGGCCCTCCATCTCCCCATCACACACCCACGGGTGCACACACACTCACTCACATGCACACACAATTCACACACACACACATACGATAGATAACACATTAACACATGTGCACACACTCCCCTCAGCACTGACCTGGGGGACAGCTTGAACAAGAGGTAGGTCAGGCTGGTCAGCAGGAGAAAGATGGACACAGCGACAAGGGTGCTGTCGGGCTGCCGCAAAGGTGGGATCAGGGGGCCTGTGAGCAGGGAGGGCCCCGAGCTGTGAGTAGTGTGAGCACCTGCATGTTCCTCCAGACACACACATGGCAAAGGCACCACCAGGAGTGCCCCACACCGAGGTGGACTGTTTGCGACTGGCCTCGGAGGTTCATGCTGTGCCTGCTGAGTACCGTGGGTGACCACGCACCCTGAGCCTTGCCTCCCAGCTGCATGGTTACCGGTACCCCTGTGCACAGGGTTAGCCAGCCCTCCCTAAGGAGATGGGCATGTCCAGGCACCAGAGCCAGAAGCGCCAGGCCCGGCGTGCAGCTCTGGGCACACTCAATGCAAACAGCTGGAGCACCAGGTCATGGGAAGCCCAGCGCTCGGCAGCGTCTGTTTCCTGCTTGCACACCCCAGACCTCCAAGGGAGGGTGGTCGGCTGGGGCATGACTGCCCCAGGGAGGGGCTTCCAGGAGGGGGAAAGGATGGGACGGTGGGACAAGCAGGGGAGGGGAGACCCAGCCCAGATGCCCAAAAGGCAGTGGCCGTGCCTACCGCGTCTCTGAGGGGAGGGGAAGCGCACGGGCTGGCTCCATTCACTCCACTGGCCCTCATAGCGATCCTCCTCCGCCACATCGTCCTCTGCTGTGGCCATCTGAACACGAAGCCTGGCCTCATAGGTAGTGCCAGGGTCCAGCTCGACAGCTTCAAGGATGAGCCTGGTCACCCCAACAATGCGATCCTTGTGCCGCGCCCGCTATGGGGTCGAGGACAATCAGCAGGTGCCAAGGGTGAGACTGGGTCTATCAGCCCTCGAGAACATACACACACACACACACTCACCATACACACACTTATATGTGTACGCATGCACATGTCCACAGGCACAGGCTTACACTCATCTACCTGCATGCACACTCACATGTGCACACACCACACTTGCACACTCATACACATAGACACAGCCTGCAAATAAATACATGTATTCATGCACACACAGGCACACTCACCATGTTTGCACGCACACACACACAGTCATGCACAGACACACTCACATCCAGACACACCTGCGTGCACACACATACACACATGTGCACAGTCACACTCACCACACTTGCACCCACACACTCTTGGCTCTGGTTACCTCCCCTCCTCATAATTCCAAGCCGACATCTCTGTATGTGGGGGAGGAAGGGCCCTGGGCTGCTGTCCCAGGAGAGAGAGGCCCCCAGGGTCACCACCTCGCAGCCCAAGCACTACCTCCCAGGCCTCCTCCTGCCTCTTGAAGGCCAGCTCATAGGTGAGGAGCGAGGTCAGCGGCTCCAAAGCGGGAGTGATGCTCCAGGTCAGGACGCAGGAGTCAGAGCTGACATTACTCTGCAAGTCAGACGGAGGATCCAGCTTCACTGGAACAGATGAGGCCACATGAGGGTGTGTCAGTCAACATGCCCAGGACTGGGGATATGAAAGATTCCTGGGGGTGTGGGGGACATGGTCAAGGGCCTCTCAGACCAGGGGCCTCACTGTGAGACTGGTCCAGAGAAGCCCAAGGTGGAACAGGATGGCACTGACTTCCTCCAGCCCCTGCAGCCAGACAAGGTGATTTTCAAATCTTGCCTTTCCTTTCCCTCATAAGCTGCTGCTGGAAGTTCTTCCCAGTGTCTTACTGCAGTCTTTCCTGCTACAACTTAAGTGTATTTCAAGCAGCTCAAGCTGCAGCCGCTGCCTCAACTCGAAGCCCAGCATTTTCATCCTCCCCCAAAATCCTACCCCTGCAGTAACTAGTGGGACCTCCCCTCCCAGGGGCGCAGACTGCCCCTAGCCCTGGATCTCTCTTAGCAGGGACCCAGAGCACTCGCTGGGCCACGGGTGTCACAGGCTGCAGGGCCCTGTCCTCAACCCCCACGCAGCCAGGATGTTCCCAGCCCAGGCCTCACCATGTCTCCGGGGCAGGTACTGTGGGTCCACCAGGCTGACCTGCTCCTTCCCAGAGATGTCACGGTGGAAAGTGATGGTGAAGTTGTCAGAAGGCACGAGCACCTCCTCGGGCGGCAGCACCAGGGTGCACACACTGGCCTGGAAGACGCACTTGTGCACGCTGCCCGGCGCGTGGTTGCTGAAAAGGGGAAGTGTTGGCATCAGGGGCCACCACGCTAGCCCGGCCCCTGCTGCCATCAGGGGACCCGACTCTCACCCCTTCCCCCTGCCCCCTGCCCTCTGCCCAGGTGGGCCTAGCCCTCCTGCCTTACCTGGTGAAGAGGAGCCAGGGGCTGGCACCCTGGCCCAGCTCTGAGGCAGCCCAGTGGCAGTCAATCCTGAGGACGTTGTTGGTGAGGCAGGTGAAAGTTCCAGCCCCTAGCCCTGGGAACAGTGACCATTGGACCCCTGGGAACCCTCAGGGGCTGCTTCCAGGCAGGGCTGGGGGAGGGGAGGGTCTGGAGCTGACTCCCTGACAGGGCAGTCCCCAGAGAATGATCCCAGGAGAATTCACCAAGGGCAGGGCTGGGAGATGGGGGAGGCGATGGGCTCTGACCCATGGTGCATGGGAGGAAGTGAAGTCCAGGCTGATCCCTGGAGGATGGGCCCCAGCACATTTCAGGCCAAACCATTCCCCACAGAGTTTGACAGAAGACAGCCCTGGCCCCCAAGCTCTCTACCCACCCACCTCACACAGACACTAGTGCCCAGCCTCACCTCCTCCTTCCCCTGGGACAGAGACTCCCAAGCCGACCCAGGTACTGATGCAGGTGCAGATCAGGAGCCAGGTGCCCGTCTCTCGTGTCAGGGCCTCGCTCTCCCAAGTCCAACCTGCAAGGGACTGGCCTGAGGGGCTCCGTGTGAGGAGCACCCACAATGGGAGGCTCCTCATGAGATCCTCCCTGTGAAAGATGCTCCCCATTGGATGCTCCTTATGAGGCATTTCCTGTGAGGAGTACTCCCTTGATGGGTGCTCCTCTTTGGGTTCTCCCTGTGAGGCATTCTCTGGTCTACTCCCTGTGATAGATGCTCCCCATTGGGTGCTCCCTGTGAGGGATTTCCTGTGAGTATTCCCCTGATGGGGGCTCCTCATTGGGTGCTCCCATGAGGCATGTCCTGTGAGGTCGACTCCCTGTGAGAGGTGCTTCTCATTGGGTGAGGCATTTCCTGTTATGTCAACTCCCTGTGAGGGGTGCTCCTCATTGGGTGCTCCACGTGAGGCATGTTCTGTGAGACTGACTCTCTGTGAGGGGTGCTCCCCAGCAGAGTACACCGAGTGGGTCCCCACCCACACCCTCATTGTGTCCCATGAAAGCGGCTGGGCAGCACGGTCCGAGCTCCTTTCTGGGACCAGCGTCCTCTGCCAGCCCAGCCCCCATCTCTGGGCCCAGGTCCCCACCTGCAGGGGACGCAGGGTGAAGGGAATCAGTCACCATTGGCAACAGCCACAGATAAGATTTACCGAACCCTCTGGTGTCACACAGTGCCAACTGCGTGACATGCATGATCCATGTGAATTCCCGCAACAGCCATGTGCGTGGGAAGCCTGTCCCAGCCCACAAGGGAGCTGAGTCTCAAGGAGGGGAAGCACCTTGCCCAGGGTCACACAGCTAACTTTGGCAAATCCTCTCTCACCTTGGTTTCCTTAAATAAAGACCTGTCCCAGTGTTCTGCCCTAGAAAAGGGCAGGAGGATGGCAGTGGGGTGTCCATGCAACAGACGGCACTTCCTAAACTGTCACACCCCTGTTCCAAGGTGCCCTGTGGAGGAGAGCATCCCAGGAGAGCCAGGCTCAGTGCTAGAGTGCCTTCCAGGCCCCAGGATCCCCGGGAGAGCCAGAGGTTAGCTGGAGACAGGGGCTGGGTGCTAGGAAGTGCCTGGTGCCGGCAGGCTGCTGATGCCCCATCACCCTATTTGCAGCTCCAGATGGTATACTGATAGCTCCTGAGCAGGAAGCAGGGCCAGCCTGGTCGTGCAAACCTGATGGGTGATAAGGAAGCAAAAAGAAGCAGACATGCACACAGACCACAGCATGTAGGCCCTCAGGGAGCCCACACACCCTCTCAGGCAACAGACACCACGCTAGCCCCGCCCCGCACCACCAGCAGCCTATGCATGCACCCAGAGGACGGAGCCCTGTTAAGATCAGCAATCAGGAAGACCCCACCCTTCCCTAGGATGGAGCATCACCTGGCACCACCAGCCGCAGCATGAGAGGCCCAGGCAAGTTTACCCAGCAGTAGCAGTTACTGGATGGAGCAGGGGAGCAGCGGGACAACAGCTCACTCCCAGGGTGTGTGAGGACAGATCAGAGTGAGCACCAGGATCCAGTGGGAGCTCGGGCATAACAGCCACTTCCCAGCTAAGAGGTGACCCGGGCTCCAGGGTGGACAGCCACTGCCCCAGCAGAGGAGGGACACCTGCATCTGTGCAGAATCCGGCCAGCCCAACCCTAACCCAGGCTAACCCAGGAGCAGATGGCTTGAGAGTGCAGAGTGGCGTGCCTGCAACCTCAGCAGGCTCGGGAGGCAGGCATGGGGTGGACAGGACCCACAGGGACACCTGAGAGCTAGAAGGGGCAGAGGAGCCCGGCCTTCTCTCACACTGGACCCTCTTGCCTGGCCTCCTTCCCCATCACATGCCTCTTCCTTGTGAAGCCCTCTCTGAGCCCCGGGGTCTGTCCCCCTAGCCAGACCAGACACCCCGAGCCAGGCCCAGTCGGCTCACAACAGGAACAGGGAGCCGGTAGAGGCTGTGGGCAGGGCTACAATAAGGATGTCAACAGACCTCTCTTTGGGGGGCCCTGGAGGTCAAATGGGGGCAAAAAACGCCCCTACTCTTCCCGCACCTGCCAAGTGGCCTCCTCTGCCCAGCGCCCCTTGGGTATCCCTCACTGCCTCTGTGCCACTGTGTCAGCAAAGCTCATTGCTGTGCCGCCTCCCACACCAGGCCCCTCCCGCGGGAGAAGTGCTGGACTTACACTGCTGCCCCTGCACCCAGCTGTCCCCGCAGACACTGCCCTTGCCTCCAGATGCTGTAAAGCCTGGGGCACCTGGGAGGAGGTCTGGGGGGCGTTACTTGAGCATAAACCCTCTCCCCGCTTTCTCTGCCCTCGCTGAGCTGACCCTCCTTCTGCAATCCCACCCTCACTGGCTGCCCCACCCACAGCTCCAAGGGAGATCCCCAGACTCCCGGCTGCTCTTCTGCCCTAAAGACCCCCAAAGGCAAAGGGTTTGAAGGGGCTTTACCAGTCCCATGGCCTGGACCCCATCTCCACTCGTGGCCGTCACAGCTGAGCCCATGCGGCCCCAGAACACCCCCTCGCACTCATGCCCACCCAGGCGAGCTCAGTCATCAAGGAAGCAAACTCTCTTCCCTAATTAGAAACCTGCCAGCAGCTCAGTGGCCTCCTCTGCCCAGAGGCACTCACGACCCCTGCAGGCCTGGAAGGAGTCTGACATTCTCATCCCTGGAGATGCCCAAGGTAAAACAAGGCAATGCTCCCAAACACTGCACTTGCGAGGCTCCTCCATGGGCCCTTCCCGGGCCAGGGCCAGCCGGCTGCCCACCCCTTTGCCCCCTGTGCTTCACACCAACTCGAGCTGTTGGGAAGTCCCAGCTACTGACTCACCTTCCCAAATGCATCTGGCAGGTCCCATGGCAAGTCTGAGGGGCCCCGGCCCTCCAGACCTGGAGGCGACTTGTGACCCGACCGTCCCTGTGTTCACAGCAGAGCCCCTCAGCCTGATTTGGGAGATAACTGCAGCAACGGGTGACGTGAGCCTCACACGGCAGGCTGACACGGCCGCCCACAGCTGAAACCACGGAGAGCAGCGGAGCAGCGGTCCTGAGCAGGGCTGGCAGGCAACTGTCACCACGAATCAGAACCCAGGGATTAAGAGGTGGGGCCGCCTCTCCTTGCCCATGACACGGAAGGGTGCCACACGGGGGCTGTGGTGATTCATCCATTGATCGGTAGATGAGTGTCCACCGTATTCCTCCCAAGGGACACCACTGAAATGCATTAAATGAGCCCAGGAGGCAAGAACCCTGACCAGGCACAGAGCAGCAGGCCCCGTCCCTTTCTAGGCTTTTCTTAGGACAGAGGCGCGGGGGCTCCTTCCACCAGCCAAGGCCACCTCTGAGCACTGGGCGGGGGGGGGGGGGGGGGGGGGCACAGAACATCCGAGTGACATGGTCTGTTACAGAAAGACAAACAACACAGAATATACAACGGTGGTCCCCTTATCGGACCCAGAGGTACCCCATGAGAAGTTGGACACCAGCCCCTCCAGACAATTTCTAAGCTCAAATGCACGTTTCTAATGGACTCACACTGTGCTGTGAGCTCTGCAGCCTCCTGTTCCTCTGGCTATTTTCAACATCCTTCTAGCTCAGCACATAGAAACCTGCCTCCTGCCTCTAAAGGAGGTACCGGCAGGGTTTAATAATCTCGCCGATGGAAATTTGGATTGTTGCCTATATATATGCTATTTTAACTTTTTCTATTGAGATATAGGTGACATAACATTTTATTGGTTTCACATGTATATATGCTATTTTAAATGAAGGTAGCGAACAATTCTGGGCATGGATCTTTAATCATCAGAATGAGTACTTCTGTACAAAAAACTGCTATGGGTGGAATTGTGGGGTCTAAAGCTCAGCATTTTAAAATATTGATGGGTCCTGCCAAGTGGCCCTCCAAAAACATACCAACTTCCACTCCCACCAGAAGTACGAGAATGTCTGTGACACTCACCAACAGTACAGATTATCAGTCTTTTTAATCTTTGCTAATCTGATAGGGAAAGATATTTCAACGTTGCTTTAATTTCACTTCCTTGGTTATTAGTGGTGATAGGCATCTATTCATATACTTATTGGCTTATGTTCTTTAGGGTACCAAATAAGGTCACATTTCAGCATGGATGTTTATGTCAGTGTGCATATGTGCTCTGTGCATCAAAACATCTGGGCCAAGGTTTGGGTACCCTGAGCTGCAGCTCTCAGGACCCGTGGGGGATGGATCAAAGGCTTGAGCCAGGGAGCACCATGGGAATGACCAGGGACAGAATGACATTTCTTTCCAATATTTAAATTTTAATCAGCATGGCTCCCAGTCACCTATTACAAACACACACTTCTATACTCACTGGAACTCTCCCTTCTTAGTATCCTTATCGGGAGAGCTCCCTTCTGTCTGTCAGGGCCCCGCCACCTTGCTGAAGCTAGGATTTACTAACCTAAGAACAGCAGGCCATACCACCCACACGGTAACCCTGAAAGTGGAGACCACAAAGGCTGGAAAGGGAGGAAAGAAAAAAGCCAGAGAGCCCCAAATGCCACATCTAAACTCTACAAAAACCTCTGGACGAGCCCTGAACACATGTGCAGCCCACCTCCAAGCAGCCCACCCAAACAACATGAACAGAGCTGTCAGCGGCTGCCCATGCCAGAGACACAGTTTACAACCTGCTTAACAACCAACAGTCCCCAGAGAATCATAACAGAATCCACAGCCTCTACAATCTATATCAGTCACAATTTCCAGGAAACCCAAAATTATTAGACATGTGAAGAAACAGAACTATGTGACCCATACTTAAGAAGAAAGACAACTGACAGAGACTGACTCCCAAGACTAAATTGTGGGTAACAGCACAGGTTTTAAAGCAGCTACTCTAACTATGCTCAAAGATATAAAGGAAAACATGTTCACAATGAACAAATAGGAAATCTGAGAGGAGAAATAGAAACTATAAAAAAAAAGAAAAAGAAAGCATGTAAGTGAAAAACACAGTATCTTAAATATAAGGAAACTGTCACAACCACACAAAAAACAGATGGAGTGTTAACCATAAGGAATCCCTGAAAGAAGGGAGGGAAGTGAGATTTGACTCATTGACAAAGGAATCACATCCTAAGAGCACAGAGGAGACGACATCTGTGAAAGCTGGCACCTCGCTCTTCCAGGGAGATGGGAGGGGCCAAGGAGAGCCCGGGACCATCATGAGGATTAGTCAGAGGCCTAAACGTGAAGCCACCGAGCAGGTCAGCTTCATCCCCCACCTGCACTATGCCGGGCAGCACCGATTCCTCTACTGGACTGTCAGACTCGGGAAGCCCAGTGCCTCTGCCCAGAAAAATGCTGACGGCTCTCCATCACCCCACTCCTCCCCCGTAAGAAATGGAGTATGCAGAGAGCAACACCCGTAAACAAAGGGAAAACCTGACATGAAGAACACAACCAGGAGCCACCAAACACCCGTGGAAAACCAGGACAAACAAGAAAGAAAGGCACCAGTGACAAGCACCATCAGGCAGACAGGCGGTGAGGACCTCATGCATGCCAAGCTGTATCAACCTCACAACCCAAGGTGGACCACAGTTAGCAAGCTACAGCCCAAGGGCCAAATCCAGCCCACTCCTTAATTAAAAAACTTGTGAGCTAAAAATACTTTGCACGTTTTTAAATGGTTGGGACAAAGCTTAAAGAACTACATGAGGGGCCGGCTGGGTGGTGCAGTGGTTAAGTCCCCACATTCTGCTTTGGTGGCCCAGGGTTTGCCAGTTTGGATCCCGGGTGCAGACCTACACACCGCTTGGCAAGGCATGCTGGGGCAGGCGTCCCACATATAAAGTAGAGGAAGATGGGCACGGATGCTAGCTCAGGGCCAATCTTCCTCAGCAAAAAGAGGAGGATTGGTGGCAGATGTTAGCTGAGGGCTAATCTTCCTCAAAAAAAAAACAAACTACATGACAGGTGAAAATATTATGCAATTCACATTTCAGCAACCACAGCTTCATCGGAACACAGCCACACACGTGTGTGCTGTCTATGGCTGCTCACACCCTCTAACAGCGGTGCTGAGTGGTGGGGACAGGGCTTTGCGCTCCTGTTCAACGCGCTGCAGCTCAGCAGGCTGGTCACGAGCCAGCGTTTCAAAAGCCACCATGTGGCTGTGTTGCAACGGTTTTTTTGCTTATTAGCAGTGCATAGCCATCACGCCCAAACAGAGTAGAATCTGAAAGTCACATTTCTAAGGCACAGTGGGGCGTGGATTATCTTGTCATCAAATTGGATGGCAAAGGATTGTGTTTACTATGCAACGACACTACAGCTGGTTGACACGACCAGACCAAGCACTTCCACTGGCACTCTTCTCAGTGCACAACAGTTTCCTTACAAAAATTCAAAGTGAAAATAAGGCAACCAAATTAAATTTCCAAGGGGTTCATCTGTTGCCCAAGCAAAGAAAGCCACTTAGTGACGGCGAGTCCACCGTCTGATTGCAGTAGCTGAAGAAGGATGTCCACAGAAAACAAGACTACCAGTCTTTCAGCCAGAACAGCTGTTCTAAAAGTTAAGAGACTCGGAGCAACAGCAACAGGCAATTAAAAATGAGGCAAATGAGTCAGGGCTGGCCCCGGGGCCGAGTGGTTAAATTCGCATGCTCTGCTGCAGGCGGCCCAGTGTTTCATTGGTTCGAATCCTGGGCACGGACATGGCACTGCTCATCAAACCACACTGAGGCAGCACTCCACATGCCACAACTAGAAGGACCCACAACGAAGAATACACAACTATGTACCAGGGGGCTTTGGGGAGAAAAAGGAAAAAAATAAAATCTTTAAAAAAAAAAAATGAGGCAAATGAGGGGATCTCGTCACGATGGCAGCAAAGGCAGACTCTGAACTCACCTCCTTCCACAGACACAACCAGGTTACAACTATTCTTGGAAAAATTGCCCTGGAGAGAAAACTGAAACCTGGATAAAAAGAACCCCCACAGCAAGGGACAGTCCTGACTGAGGTGGAAGAGGCAGAAATCCCTTGTGGAGAGAAAAAAGCCACCTTCACGAGCAGCAGAGCCTCACAGCCAGCTGAGCAGGAGCCACCCGAAGCTTTCCTACTGGGACTTCAACATGTGACATCTAGAAGTGCAGGAATCATCTCGCAATTATGAGGACATAAGCCTCCAAGGAGGGCAGAGCAGCAATGGGAAAAGAATTTCTGCTTTTGAGGAATTCACTGAGCAGCTTGCACGCCTGTTTCTAGAATCCCTCTGGTTCAGTTTCAGTTGCGGGCAGCAGAATAAAACAAAAAGGGTGTTAGCGTGAAAGAAAAAGAGGACAATGACTTAAAGCGATTTTCGGAGGCTCCTGATGGATCCACAGGTGTCACTGGAACTGCTCAATGGCTGCTTCTCCGAGTAGTCAACGCCTCAACACTGCATGGGGAAGCGACTAAGAATTAGCTTCCATGCGCAGTCTGCAAGGAACAAGCGACTGCGGGCAAGAACATCCTCAGAGCTGAGAAAACACTAACTCGCTAGAACCTGAAGTGGAATTTGCTCACGTGTCTCACAAGTGATGGTGGTGAAACAGCAGAGCATGAAAACCTTAGGTGGACAAATCTACAAAGCTCATAAACACATCAAGTGTTTAAAGCCCACGGTTTTTCACTGTATTATACAAAGCAAATGAATAACTTGCAGAAAGTATGTGCCTCTCTCATCAGTACTGAATCTACCAAATCGCAGAAATGTCAACAGGGAACTTCATTCGCGCTCAGGCACTGAACCAGCTTTAAGAGACAGGCATTTGCCACCGATTTTGATGCTAAGGAACACTAACTCTGAACCCCAGGTCAAGCAAAATGATACCCATTCTTCTATCAAGAGACCTGCATAACAAAATATGGTACTCAATTACTCTGATATTTTTAATTTTGTCTATAAAAAAAACTGTAGAAGTTTGTCTTCTTGTGTTTTCCTAGATTTTCACTCTTGATCCACAAGTCTAAAATATTTACTATCCAGCCCTTTACACAAAGTCTGTAAACCCCTGAAATAGGCCACAGTCACGCGTTGCTTAATGACATACATGCGTTCTGAGAAATGTGCCGTTGGGCGATTTCATCATCGCATGAACATCATAGAGTGCACTTACACAAACCTAGATGGTACAGCCTGCTGCACACCAAGGCTGTGTGATATTAATCTTATGGGATATGCAGCCCATCGTTGACCGAAATGTCATTATGCAGCGCATGACTATATTGTCTCCATTTCACACGTGAGGAAATGAAGGCAGAGGTTCAGCAACTTGAGCAGTCTCACAGCTAAGGCAGAGACAGCAGGC